GTTTTCATTTTTTTCGCCTTTCGTATAATTTGCGTAGTTTTCTTGATTAAAGCTCTGAAATTAAAGTTTAGGTATAATTTTGTCGAGTATTTCGCGGCGCATCTTTTAGAAAAAACGTGAACCTTAAAGTTTTAAAGAAACACGAGAAAAATGAAAAATACGCAAGAATTCATTTCCTCTGGTGCACCCGTTGCAGAATGGCCGAAAAGTCAGTTCACCAGTTTATGGTGTTCTGAGCTAAAAATCAGTTAACATTAATCATCGTCTCTGTAAATCCATCTCAATGTGTTTTGGGTACTTTTTCCCTAACTGAAAAAAGTTTGAAGAACCGTTTTATATAGATAGAATTTGATGCACTTTTCGCCTGGCAAATAAGAAGAGTATCGTCCATTAGTGATGCAGACTGCAAGTACACACCTTTGAGGGTACTGCTATTGAAAAGCAGTGTTTTCAGTATAGTGATTGATAATATATGATTTTATGTTTTTGCTTAAAAATTAGAATATATGTAAGTATATGGTCGGTCATAATTTTCATATATTTCTTTCGTTGATTTATCAATACACAAATCAATTACTTTCTACATCTGTGTTTTAAACTAGAGAGAACAACGAGGTATGGTTTTGTTTTCGTTATGAATTTCATCAACATGAACAACACAAGAAGGGAAATCAAGAGACTTAGAAAGACATAAAAGCACATACACATGCAGTTTCACTCGGAATGTTCCTTGATCTAATTCTTTGATCTAATTTTTATGGAGATCAATATAGCCTTTTAATGCATCTCCTCAATGTGTAGATGAATGTACAATTTAGACAAGACCATTTTCAGTATGTCCTATACAAATTTATATAAAACTTTTGGGAAGTATGAATCCTTGCTGTTGCACAGGAACATGTTTTGATCAAATGAGATATTCATCCTATTCTATTCAACATTACGTTCTCGCGTTAATTGAATTACTGCTGAATGGAAACTGATCAAGAGGACTAGAGTCAAAATACAAAAAAAAGTACTATTTTCCAGCATTGTAATAATATTTCTTCAAAAATAAAGTCATAACTCGGCAGAAAAATGGTTGAAATGGCTAAAATTTATAATTTCTAGGTTATTTTTAATGCAGAATCGAACTACATACTTTTTATCAAACACAATTTTTGACATTTTTTGCAATTTTTTAATGTATATACATATATATATGTATATAGAGCCACTTTTATTAACATATGACCTGACACTGTCTACTCTTATCTTTTTAGTTAAATGGATATTCTTTTGCTCAGTGTGATATTTCAATGATTTGAGTAGTAGAATACGTTTTGTTTAGAATATCAAGAACACAAAGTTATTTTTTTCCTTTTCTTTGTGGATAAGAGTTACATAAGAATTGCAGTGAATGCGATGACATTGATTAGCATTAATGAATTTTAGGAAAACTTTTATACCAGTGACTGACTAGTTGAGAATAGCATTGCATTTATCTGTGTAATATCGTTTTTTCTCGCTTAAGAATGACTTCATTCTGCCTAAAATATTACGAAAATTTTAAAAAGATTAATCATGATTACCTCATGTTACTCTATTTAACAGAAATATTGCCTATAGCGAGATTTCAAGTAGCGAATTCTTAATTCGAATGGCAACAAGGCTACGGTTTTAAGCATACACCCATGTATTTTTCTTCTGCTATTTCGATTATTAAACGACGATTAGTAATCTATCAACATTATCTTAACATGCTATCTCATTTTTGTGCTTTTCCAGTATTGTACATCATAGTCTAAACGATGACATCAGCTAATGAACAGAAAATAAAACTGTTACGTGATTCACTTAGATTACATCCAAATTTTCCGAAAAAAGGGGTCACATTTATGTAAGTGAACGTTTTGTCAATAATAATTCAAACGTAATAATCACCTTAAAGTGAGTGATATTTATTTTATGTGTAGTGATATACTTGGAATATTTATTAATCCCGAAGCACATCGAGCATTAATTGATGTACTTATTGCTCGCATTAAAAAATATGGAGATAAAGTTAATGCCATTGCTGCTTGTGAAGCAAGAGGTTTCATCTTTGGTCCTCAGATAGCGCTTGAATTAAAACTACCATTTATTCCTGTACGAAAGCATGGAAAATTGGTGAGTATATGTAATATTAAATCGAAATAGCAAATTCAATTTTTTTAATCTTTTAGCCGGGACCAGTATGTGTCACCGAATATGAACTTGAATATGGTAATGATACGGTGGAAATACAAAAGAATGTTCTTAAACCTGGTAACAAAGTTATTTTATTAGATGATTTGTTAGCAACCGGAGGTACGTTTTATCTGTAATAAACAGATATTTCAAATCGTTTTTCTTTAGGAACATTAAGCGCAGCTAAACGTTTAATTGAGCAAATCGGTTGTGAAGTACTCGAAATATTTGTAGTTATTGAATTACTCGGTCTTAAAGGACGTGAACGATTAAATGGAAATGTTTCATCACTTATGCACTTTAGCGAACAAGATCTTGAAGAACTAGCAAAAAATATTACTAGCTAAAAATAAATCAATGATGAGGTTCACCGGTTCAAATATGTTAAACCATATTTAACAGAGAGAATTGCAATTTTCATTTTACGCTGTTCCTTTACTGATAATTATAATAAACTGTGCTATGATAAATTTTCAAATTTTATGTGAATTATACCAAAGATAGAATAGATTATCCATCGGAATACTCTGTCTACTCTACCCATGACTAGAGACCTGCAACCCAAACCGACCCTAGGGTCGGATCGGGTCGGGTTGGGGTTAAGATGTTGTCGGGTCGGGTTCGGGTTGGATATTTGGCGACGCAATTTAAAATATAAATAATATTTTTAGCTTTGTATTACTAGTTGAAAGTTATCTCTACTGGAATTTCCAGTTGAAAGACTTATTTCAGAACAACTGCATTCACTAAGTCGATTAATGATTGCTTCCTTTGCACATAAGAGAGTGCTTCCTGCACTGAAATCAATGGCAATACATCCCTTACTGCTTTTTTTCAATGTACTGTTTTAAACACCCGTACATAGAAGACTTTACTATAATGCTCTCTACTTGCTA